GAATATAATGTGAAAAACAAGGCAAGATGATACCTCCTAAGATTCATAATTTGTCAATAACTCCAAAGATACTGAAGTGGGTGAAATATCAGTTTTTGAAAAACTCAAAAGAATGGCTATCAAAAAGTAATGGGTTGCCAGAAAACACAGAAATAACTGAATGAAATAAGGAATTCAGTACAGGATATGAATGAGAAATTCAATAAACAGAGATACTGAAAGAGAATTGAAGAGAAATCTTGGAAGTAAAAGGCACAGTAAATAAAAATTCAGTTTAAAGTCTCTCTAGTAGAGTATGCAAAAGACAGACTCTCAGAACTGGAAGACAAAGTGGCCATCTTTGAATATTCAGACAGTATTAAAGAAACCAAACCATGATCAAAATATATGAGAACTCCAGGACAACATTCAGACCAACCTAAGTATTATTGGAATTGAAGATTGTTGAGATGCAGGCTAATGGCATGGATAATCTCTTCAGGGAAATAAAAGAAAAATGTCCAAGCCTTGGGAATCAGATGGACATCCAGATATAAGAAGCATCACTCAGAATCCCAAATAGACAAGATCAAAAAGAATCTTTCCATAACACATTATAATTAAAATGTCTAACATGAAATACAGAAGAAGAGAATTGTAAAAGTCTCAAGAGAAAAATGTCAGGCCACTTTTACAGGTAAGTCAATCAAAATTACTTCTGCTTTTTCAGAACTCTTAGAAGACATCATTCTAAGCCCTGAAAGGAAATAAGTGTCAGCGAAGATTGCTACATCCGGCAAAGTCATCCTCAGAATCAAAGCAGAAATAAAAACCTTCCATGATAAGCAGAAACTAAAAGAATTCATAACTACTTGGCTTGCACTACAGAAAACACTTAAAGAAATACTACACACAGAACAAATAATAAGCAACCTCCAGAGCTCACAAATGGATCTCATTTGAAGAGTAGCTGAGCAAATGAGAAACAGAACCAAATTAAACATTAGAAATAAATCAAAATGGCAGAAATTAATAAGTATTTCTCTATAACAATAATGAATGTAAATGGCAGAATGGATCAAAAAACAAGACTCAACTGTATAGTGTTTAAAAGAGGCTCTTCTTATAAGCAAATACAGCCAAAGGTTGAAAATGAAAACGATATTGCATGGAAAATTATTTTCCATGCAAAGGAAGCTCCAAAATAAGCAAGTGACTACTCTCATATCCAACAATGCAGGCTTCAAGCCAACATTCATCAGAAGAGACGAAGAAAGTCACTGCATACTGGTGAGGGAACAATCCAACAAGAAGATATAATGGTCATTAATATCTATGCCCCAAACATTGGTGCACCTAATTACATAAAACAGACTTTACTCAAATGAATGACTCAGACCCAAATACAAAATACTGGATGATTCTGACACACCTCTCTGACCAATTGGTAAGTCATCCAGACATAAATTCAGCAAAGCTCCTCAGACCTAAAAACAATAGTATAAATCAAATCAAATCTAACAGACATCTATAGAATATTTCATCCACCAACAGCCAAATTCACTTTCTTCTCAGCTGCTCATGAAACTTTTTCCAAACTAGACCATATTTTACGTCATAAAGCAACTCCTAGAAAGTATCCCCCCCGCCAAAAAAAAAAAAAAAAAGATTCCTTGCATCTTACCAGATCACAATGCAATGAAATTAGACATCAACACCAAGAAAAACTACAGAAACTAAAAACAGGAGATTGAACATTACACTCTTGAATAATGAACAGGTGATAGAAGAAATCAGGGGGGAAATTTAAAAATTCTTACAATCACAGCAGAATAGAGTTAGAAATATCAGAATCTCTGGGACATTATGAAAGTAGTGCTAAGAAAATAGTTTACAGCTATGAGTGCCTGTATTTTAAAAAACCAGAAAGACTTCAACCAAACAATATAATAGTGCATTTCAAGCCCCTAAAAAATGAAAAACAATTCAAAATCAGTAGAACAAAGAATATAAGATCAGAGTTAAAATGAATAAAATAGAGAGGGAAGTTGGGCATAGTGGCACACACCTGTAATCTCAGTTGGAAGGTTGAGACAAAAGGATCACAAATGTGAGGCCAGCTTCAGCAACTTAGCAAAGCCTTATTCAACTTAGTAAGCCCTGTCTCCTCAAAATAAAAAGGGCTGGGGATGTGGTTCAGTGATAAAGTGCCTCTGGGTTCAATCCCAGGTACCTTAAAAAAAATACAATGGGTCAATAAAGAGTTGATTCTTTAAAAAGATAAATGACTGATAAACCTTTAGCCAAATGCACCAAAAGAAAAAGACCAAAATAAATAAAATTAGAGATAAAAAAGGAGAAATCACTAGTCATCAGAGAACTACAGAAGATTATTAGGAACTATTTGGAAAACTTATATTCCAATAAATTGGAAAATCTAGAAGAAATGGATACATCTCTAGACACATATGAACTGCCAAAGTTGAATCAAAAGGACATAGGAAACCCTAAACAAACTAATAATAAGCAATGAGATGGAAGCAGTAATAAAAATTCTTCCGGGACCAGGGTTGTGGCTCAGTAGTAGAGTGCTTGCCTAGCATGTGTGAGGCACTGGATTCGATCCCCAGCACCACATTAAAAAAAAAAAAAAGTCTTCCAAAGAAGAAAAGTCTGGGACCAGATGGATTCTCAGCTGAATTCTACCAGACCTTTAAAGAAGAACTAACGCTAATGTTCTTCAAGTTATTCCATGAAATAGAAAGGAGTAGAACACTTCCAAATTCATTTTTTGAAACCAATATCACCTTTCAGAGAAGAACACATCAAGGAAAGAAAACTACAAACCAATATCCCCAATGAACATAATTGTGAAAATCCTTAGTAAAACATTCACCAACAGGTTAAGAAGATTGTATATCATGACCAAGCTGGTTTCCCTCCTAGGATGCAAGGATGAATCAACATACACAAATCAATAAATGTAATTTACCACATAGAATTAAGGACAAAAATCATAAAGTCTTCTCAATATATGCAGAAAAAGTCTTCAATAATTTTCAACACCCATTCATGAAAAAATGCCAAATGGACAGAATAAACTTACTTCAACATCATAAAGACTATATACCACAAGCCCAAAGCCAATATCATAGTGAATGGAGAAAAACTGAAAGCATTCCCTCTAAAATCAGGAACAAGACAGGGATGTATACTCTCAACACTTCTACTTAATACAGCATTTGATTTTTAGCTAGAAAATTAGACAAGAAAATTTAAAAAATACAAATAAGAAAGGAAGAGAAAGGCTGACAAATGTGATACTGCCGTCTAGAGACCAGCCTAGAGAAGGAGGACATAGCAATTATGGTGCTGTCATTTGCAAAACTCTCCTCTAGATAGAAAACAGTTCCTCTTCTTCCACCTTGAATGCACAAGGTGGGCCACTCTTCACCACACAGAATAAGTTGCTATAGTAAACCATTTTAGCTTTATCTGCAGTGCTCCCATCAGAAATGCTTTTATCATGTATGATTTCCATTTCACTACTTTTCTAAATTACTACTTTTACCAACCAGTTTGGAAGTATTTTGACATTTAGCATTCGCTATGACTATACATTAGGATGCAATGGCCGAATATCTGCCCTGCTCAACAATCTTTACAGACATTATTCTTACAGAGCTCAAATATAAGGAAAGCTAGTCAGGCCAAGGAAAAAAATAAAGCCCCATGTAGCAAAATTACCAAGAAAAAAAAAAAAACACAAAATTCAAGATAATGGTTACTCTTGAAAGAGGAGATGGCAATTTTCCATTTGCACAGTTGGGTGACAGATTTTTTTATTATACACAATTTCCACAAGAAATTCTCCTTAGTGTTGACATTCTGGGTTTACCAAATCAACTTGTCATAGCCCCAACTCTCTACATAGTACTATAACCATCTTACAAGTAGTGAGAAATCTTGACAAATTGAAACTGTGCTGAAATCAAGACATTATGCCTTAGAATCCCTCATTTGCAGCTAAAGAAAGGAATAAGGCTAATTTGACATGACTTATCCCTAGAAACCTAGGTTAACTACTCATTATATTTTCTTCTAAATGATCATATTTCTAGTATTTTTAAGGTTGTTAAACTTCCCAAAATTGTTCTCCAAAATTATGTTCTATAGTTTCCTAACTGCTGACAGTGACTATTCTTTTTTAACAAGTCTGGGTTCCTTTTCCTTTTGTTGATTTTATTATAAGGCTTTTATCTTTCCCTAGCAAGCAATATTTATTATTTTCCCAAACTTACTTCAGATAGGTAGAAGCCTTTTTCATGGTCTTGAGCAGCCATTACTGCTTTTTTTTCCCCCTCGCAGACTCGTTTGCCTAACGTTTGACGACACTACTTTCCTGCTACTTTCATTGTTGTATGTCCTTACTTCCAAGCTTGGCCTTGATCTCTAAATATTCATCTTAACAATTATAACCTCTCACTATTCAGGATCTACCATGAGTTTTTCCTTTTTGGGTTACCAAAAGTTGGCAGTCATAGTTTCACATGACTAGATGACTCTTCTGAAATTAGATTTTTTAAAGTTACAGATAATTTGTGACTAATTATGGCAAACATTCTCTTCCGTGTTCAGAAATGCCAGGAAGCATGGGTACTCTCCCTGACTGAAAACAAGCAGAAGCATAGTAAATGCGGGTTCAAGTGTGGTGGCTAGATCAAGCTATGCAGTCCAGGGACAGATGGTAAAGAGAGAGAGGATACAATGGTATAAAAGCAAAGTCTGTGCAATGTGGCTACTGTTGAACAAATATAAATTGTTACATGCATTTAATAACTCTAAAGTAGTAATATTTATTCTTTCTTTGGAGAAAACTAGAAAATAAGAATAAAATTTTTGAAACTGCTTTCCAAAAATGTCGCCCAACTTCAAGAACTTATTTTTTGAAATTTAGCACACTGAAGAACAAAATCATCACATCTTGTTGGTTCACATACCAAAGAAAGATACAACTTAACTGACCATGAAAAGATTGTTTTATTCCATGAAAATATTCTCAACAGAGAACACTATCTTAAACAATTTACCATTAAGAAATCAACATGTGCACAAAGAGTAAAAATTACTGAAAATTTTTAAGATTTCTTTTGGACAATTCACATGTTCAAAATTTAAGAATGATTTAATGATTTAAACTGTGCAAGTACAAATGTCTTTCCTATTGTAATAACCCATATACAGGTTGCACTATTCCACATGAAGGAACCTGCCTCCTTCGGAAGCAAATTCTGCTTTTAGAAAAACAAACAGTAGCTTCAAAAGAACAGTTAGTCCTTACAAGAAAGCCTTAAACTTTGCCCTCTGTGGCTGTTAGCCAAAAAAACATAAGCACTGCAGGCTTTGTACAGAAGACAAACACAGCCAGATCACATTTCCTTCTCATTGCTAACCTTTAAAATAAAAATAGCACTAGATTTTAAAACTACTTCATGTAGTCCGTCAGTATTGAATAATGTCACATTATATAAATAACCCTGTAACGAGATTCAATATCTAAAGTTTATAGTTTACTAGCCTCAAAGGTAATACACTATGTCAGCTGTGTAACAGTGGTGTACTTGATCTTAGGAAGGCATTAACTTTCACACAATTGTCATTCAGCTTTAGTGTAACTGGTAGTATGATTCAAATAACACTGGGAAAATTTTATTAAAACAGTCACACAGCTTCTAAAATATTGCTTAAAATCCAATAATACACAAACCATTTCACGTTATTTCTCCCCTCAAAACAGTAAAGAACCAAATTAATGAAGCTTCAGTGGTACAAATAACTCCCCACCCACCCATCTCCCTAGTACAACATCACTAAGAAATTAGTTCAGGTACAAGTCAATAACAGAATCACAAATGCGAGGCATGATAACATGAGCAATAGGGACACTAAGGACAATTATATTTACAAGTATAAACATACAGAAATTTCCGTTTTACAAGTAAAAGTGCACATAGATCATTACAAAGTTTCACTAAATTTTATCTGATTCAAACAAAAGCATCACTTGGAAACAGACTATCATTGCAATAACCAAATGAGATCATTATAACCTCAAATTAAAAGACGATTGGGGAGGTTCATAAAACTTCTCATAAAACACTAAGTAAAATGGACTTCAGACATGTCTTTAGTTTGATGCATAAATTTGAAGATGCACCATTGTACATGGTAGAGCTCTAAAAGCTACCTACCGAGGCTACATTGGCAGCTGCAGCAGAGCTGCAGAGTTAAAGGAGGTCACACTGAGCTGACACAAAGCCCTTTGTGGGATACTGTAGTGGTAGTGTTGGCAATCAACAGATTTAGGCACTCTAGTTTAAGGCAGCATTTGAATGGAAGCAGCTGACTTCTGACAACAGTCCTTTGTCTTGAGGTGGTATCTTCTGTGTTTATTATGCCAGGACTTCAGTGCTGACTATAGATTCTTCCCAGACTGAGGTGCTGAAGATGTATCACTTTTCAAAGAGTCCTTTCAACTGGGCTGTAGGCTAGAGCAGAGATGTTTTCTTTTTCTTATCATAAATACTTCAGGTTCACAGACCACGTCTTCATAATGCCAAAATTGGAATGTTTGCAGTGGGGAAGTTGTAGCAGCATACACAAATACTAAGATGGAAACATTAGTGCTGGAGATGTTTGACAAAATGATCTGCACTACAAATGTAAAACAAAACAAAGGCTTTGACATGAACAAGGGATTATAAAGACATGCCTGAAAAATCTAAGTCTAATCACTCTAGACATGCAACAGGATGTTAAGCAAGCATGGAGATGGCACAGGCAGACAGTGACACACGGCAAGAATTCTAACAGACAATGGGTCTAAAAAGCAATTAAAACAGAGCTGGGTAGGGACAGTCTTATTGAGACAATCAAATATAAGACAAATTTTTATGACAGCTCTGTACTCTTTGTGATTTGGACACGCCAGTAAAATAAATGGAAAAGGGTCAGCCATTATTGGCTTTTTTCTTTCTTCTATGTTAATAACTGTGAACTAGGAATTTAAGGATTGGTATTATAACAAATTTTTAAAACAATGTATGGAATGCTAACGAAGTTAGTAAAAAAAAAAAATCATGTCTGCATGCACTCATGCAACTTGCTTCTCTCACTCTTTGTGCCTGACAACTCTAATACCCTCCCCCCAAAAGCAGCTGCATGTAACCTCCTTCAACATCTTGCCCATTTCCTCAGAAACCCTCTTCAGGAACCTGCAGTCCAGGAGGAAAAAGAAAAGAAGAATTACTGAAGACCTTTGGTAAGACCAAAAGGGGTGTTCAGCTTAAAGTGTCTGCCCCAAACGTCTCTAAAAATCATTTTATAGTCAGCCACTGAAAACACCAGGAAAATGTGAAATATGAGCAAAATCAAGGACCCATCTCATTGCTTTCTCTCTTTGCTTACCCACACAATTAATTCAGGGTGTGATCACATGACTAGCACACACAATACTTAATTGTACAGTGTTTCCAACAAATGCTTATTGAAATTAATTGGAAAATATCTATTTTAGTAACTGTTGATCTAGCTAAAATGAGGCCATAAATGGTAGTACAGATATCTTCCCTCAGCTCAGTCAAAAAAGTTTTCTCTCTCCTACAAGTAAAGATTGCCAGTACTTCTCCATTCAAGATTTCCTCTATCTTCACTGATTTAGAATATTTATTTTCCTGCTAAATGCTAAATAATCACTAAAGTGATGTTCCCCGCAAACCACTTTCAAGATGAAAAACACAAGTATAAGATTAATTGGAAGGAATTTTGTGCATTATTGAAAATTACCAGTAAATCTGAAAATATTTTCAGATCTTAAAACTGTTTTATTCAGATAAGAGCTAGACTAGGCAGGGCACGGTGGCACATGCCTGTAATCTTAGCTACTTGGCAGGTTGAAACAGGAGGATCACAAATTTAAGGCCAGCCTGGGCACGCTGGTGAGACCCTGTCTCAAAATAAAACAAAGCAAGAACTGTGAATGCACTCTAGCATGCAAGAGGCCCAGGGTTAAATCCCTTGTATCACAAAAAAAAGAAGAAGAAGAGAGAGCTAGACCACATCATACATTTTATAGATTTCTTGATTAGCTCACTACTTAGATTATGCACTAAGTGCTTATTTTCTTCCTTTAGGAAACCAACATTAAGAATAGAGAGGAAAATTAAAATGATTGTTATCATTTTACCCAATTTTCTAACTATTACTTTTTTTCCCTAAATACTGAAGCTACAAATTCAAACACCTACAACAAACTACTCTTTTCGTAAGTCAGTTTTCTATAGCATTTCAGAGCAGTTTTACTTATGTGAATTAACCAGTCACTGTGTTTTCTGAAGTAAAGCAGATGGAGGAGCATCAACCTATGTATTCCTGCCCAATAAGCCAAATTCTATATTTATAAGGCAGAAAAACACAAATCCTTCACAGAGACTTAAGCAGGACATAAAGCAAAGGCATCAATTAAGCTTCACACCAACATTACTCAAACAGGAAGGCATCACAAAAACAGCTTTTTGTGGTGATATTCACATCTCTTCAGCCTGCATTCAGCTCACACAGTGAACAATAAATTGGGATGCCCTTTTAGGTTTTCTCATTTTTTCTGACCTGTTGAATGTGTTTTCATTTATGTCATACATAGCACAAAGCTGCCTGGTTAGTTTAGATATAAGTTACTGCACCTTTACTGTTTTTCTCTAGAGTTACATCTATGTATGATGTCGGAACGTAGCCTTCTTCACCGTTCTGTCTCCTGGCTCTTGTCCATCCATCACCTTTGTCCTCCTCAATAATGTATAGCACTTCACCTTCTTTCATTGCCAGAGTACCTTCATTATGACCTAGATGAGTTTTCATAGCACAAGCATAATTTAAGCACAGTGATAATTTATAATAAAAATTATAAATACAATACACAAAACACATGAAATCCTACTAGATTTCAATATACCTGCTCATGAGCTCACTGATTCTCATTAGCAACAATATTACTACAATGTTTTGTAGTTTATCCAACACTTTCACACACATTCTCATTTGTACTACACAAAAACCTATGAGGATGGACTAATATTATCCCTATGTAACAAATGAAGTAATTCTTTCCTGCTTTTGAGTAGTGTTGCTATAAAAAATTCATGAGGCATGGTTCAGGAAAGTAGTAACAAAACAGTGAGAAGGTGGGAAAAGAAAAAGGATATAGTTTAAAGAGAACAGAGAAAAACAGAGATTTAACTATGGTGATGGTAGAAGCAGAATAACCCCAAAGCACAAACTTCAAGACCTCATCAATTTTAGGATTCCCTTTCTTCCCTACCCTAAACCATTCCCAATATGCTTAGCAATAACAGTGTTCTTAAGTAGAATTCTCATTCAATATATGCTAAAATCCTTCCCTACTCTTAGAATGCATTAGAAAGCTCTCAAATATAATAATTTGCTCAGAATTGAGGAGTAACTAAAGAGATTATGTTATTATATTATATTTTAGTTATACTGAGAATCACACACCCAGGTCCTCAAATATGATAGGCATGCACTTGAACACTGCACTACATTCCCAACCCCTTTACTCAATTTCAAAATCAACACAATGAGTGGGTGAAGAAAGACCTTACACCACCTATCATTTTACAACTTATTTAGGAAGGTGTTACTCTGCTCTTCTGTTAATTCAAGGATTTTTCAGGGTCCATAATTAGGAAGGATAACTAAAAACCTGTGGTAGAAAGCCAAAAAGCCTTACTCCCCTCACAGAATTTATTTCTAACTATCATAGAAGAGATGGTATTGTCAGAAGCTACCACTTTCTTTCCAGTTCTCACCTGAAAAGGTGGCGTGCAATCAGGATATGATGACAGCATTTAACTATGCTTTACACCTGCCTCTCAATGTTTATCAACTACAAGGAACATGAAGTGACATCTACCAGCCATCTACTTCCTAGTTTGGGCTGTATGCCAAGCTGCTTCAACTATTTTGAGTATACCTAAAGACTGGTAAGTTCTGGAGGGATATTCTGTTATCAACCAAAGTTGACAGATAATAACCGAAATTAGGAGCTAATAATAGGTAATTCTCTTTCAACTCCAGTGTGGAAAAAATTAACAATTTAAACAAGTATACATATTAATGAACTAGAGTTATGATTTTCTGATAATGTATTATTCAGCTAAAGACACTAAAATAAGTCACAATGCACTTAGACTTTTAAGTAACTTTTACCAAATATAATAAGAACATCATACCATCAAAAGGGTAGATAGCTTTGCAGTGTCCAATAGCAGGCAAGGGGTCATCATCCTCAAATTCATCATCAAACTCATGGTGACCATGCTGTTGCGGTGGTCCACGGACTTCTTGGTTTGCATCATCAGTGTAACTTCCCTCAGGACTAAAAATCATAAAATTATCTCTGTCAAGTATCACAAACATGAGAACTTTTCACCTGTTATCTATAAAAGTTTATCAATCTAAGGATAAGTTCAGAAAATTAGATATAGATGACATGGTTTCTTAAGCCCTATTTTCTTAAATGAATTTCTTGAATTAAAAAAAAAATTTAAAGATTATAACGGGGGCTGGGGATGTGGCTCAAGCGGTAGCACGCTCGCCTGACATGCATGTGGCCCAGGTTCAATCCTCAGCACCACATACAAAACAAAGATGTAGTGTCCGCTAATAACTAAAAAATAAATATTAATAAATAAATAAATAAATAAAGATTATAATGATCTCGGCACATAGGAATATTCACTAAGTATACCTCACTATCACTGGATCTAAAGATAAAATGGAGGGGTTGGGTTGTGGCTCGGTGATAGAGTGCTCGCCTAGCACTGGGTTCAATCCTTAGCAAGACATAAAAACAAAATAAAAGTATCATGTCCAACTACAACTAAAAAAATAAATATTAAAAAAAAAAGATAAAATGGAAAAAGGTAGTAGACACTTGTCTTTCATCATCCCAGATCCATCACTCCCTCTTTTGAAGGGGGAAAAATACCTAAAGTTTCTCTGGAAATCCACCCAGCCCAAAAGTTATTTCTATTGTGGATCCAGAAAGGAGATGAGCATAGTACTTGTTTGATGGGAGTAAACAGTTTACCAATAGTGCTATAACTCAATCAGGTTAAACAGCTGTACATAGAGAACTCTACTTGGGACTGCTAGAAGAGAAGTTCACTCCCTTTTCACTTTGAACCAGGAAGAAAACTGCCTAGAGCTTTGGGGAAAATCATCAAATGGAGCCTAAAATGAAGCCAATGCTTAAGGGATAGCTGAGAAGTAAGAAGAAACCAAGACCTAAGGATATCATCTGGGCTTTCCCTCAAATAATCCAGTGAAGCCTATTTTTACTCTAAGTGGATTATGAGTATTCATTCTGCTTACAAGTCAAAAGACTCCTAATTAAAACAAGACAAAGTTAATTTCAATTAATCATGGTAATGGGGAAATTAGTAACTTAGAAAATCCAAAAGAGCAGGTAATACAAAGGCATTTTATTTTTCTTAAAAATATTTTATATCAACAAAAAAATGTTTAAAAGTTTTTATTAAAATATTGTTAGTGAATAGAAAAATTTTAGGATTAGATTTAGCAACACTTTCAACAAGCCTGAAAGACACATTCTTATATAACATATGCCAGAAAGAACAATCTGGTTTTACCTAATACCACCCCCCCAAAAAAAAAAAAAGTTTTCTGTGGCTTTTTCTTTCTCTCTAATTTTTATTTTGATATAGGGTCTCCTTAAGTTGCCCAGGCTAGCCTTAAACTTTTGATCCTCTTGCCTCAGACTCCTGAGTAGCTAGGATTGCAGATATACACCACTGTATCTAACCTGAGGATCTTTCTTGAGATACTAAAGACATGAATTGTGAATATTCATATTGTGAATATTAATATTTCACAATATTTGTGAAGCACATACTATTACAAGGTATTTTATTTCTACATGCTTTATGTATATTATTGCCTGTAGTACTAAGAACACTATAGGATGGGTACTGTAACCTCAATTATATATTTCAGTAAACTGAGATGTGGGGAATATTAAAAATGAACTTGGGGCTGGGATAGTGGCTCAGCGGTAGAGCACTCTCCTAGCACAGATGGGACCCGGGTTCGGTCCTCAGCACCACATAAAAATAAAGGCATTATGTTGTGTCCATCTACACCTAAAAAAAAATAAATATTTTTTTAAAAAGAACTTGTTCAAATTATACTGTGATTAAATAATAAACCAAAATATTCAAATTTTTCTCTAACATGAACCCTAATTTGTGGACTGTTTTATTATGAAAAAAAATTGTGCGTGACTGTATTATACCAAGGAAGAAATGTTACAAGTGATGGGAACATGAAAATCTGGCAAAATGCCAAGCTGGAAATGCGGATCTAAACTAATAATATACATACCTCCCCCATTTTTTCCACAAAACCTCGAGTTATTAACCAAATTTTCCTTTAGCATAAGTTACCCAACTCCAGCTGAATAACTGACCAAAAAGCACATGAAGCCCTTAGCACAATGTCTGGCATACTCTAGATCCCAGATGTAATAAATGCCTGTTATTAGGACAAAGGAGAAGAAGTTAAGTAGCTCAGTGTGACTTCCTATACTCAAAAAAAGCTATTTTACTTTGAGTTAGAGAAAGAAAGTGAAATGTTTCCCAAACCTTTCATAATTTTACTTTTTCTCAATGGGCTTCCATTAAAAAAAAAAAAAAAAGTTACTCAGCTCCACCTAAATCATAGGGAAATCTTCCCATGCCTAAGGTTCCTATGGCCCAGATTATAGCTCCATGAGTTTTCTTTCTTTCTAGATCTGATTTATGGATGCATGATAGACTACCATTTAATACTTCACCTGCAACTAATGTTAAAGGATCAAAAAATTACTTAGGTTCAAGAGAATTAAGTTATTAAATGCCAAACTTATTGAATTAGATAATTATATAAAGTTTAGAACAAAGGGGTAAGGAAAGTTTGGAAAACAGAAAAAATATGAATAAAAATGCAAAATTAATGACCTTTCTCGTCCCTGTGTAACAAGATGATTTATGTCACTGCTGTGTCGTCTGTCTCCTCTCCCACCTGTTTTGCCTTCAACTTCAGACAGCCAAGCCTTAGGAAAAAAAAAATAATAATAACCAAGATCAATAAATTATATTCAAAAACTCATAAGATACTCTGTATTTAAAATGTACTTTGAGGTTTTATAATCATGTGATTTTTTTTGGGGGGGGGGGTGCCAGGGATTGAATACAGGGACACTTAACCACTGAGCCACATTCTCAACCCATTTTATATTTTATTTACAGACAGGGTCTCACTAAGGTGCTTAAGGCCTCACTAAGTTGGCTTTGGACTCTTGATCCTCTTGTCTCAGCCTTCCCAGCCACAGAGATAACAGGCATGAGCCACTAGACTCGGTCAATTATGTGATTCTTGGAGATAAGAAATCTTTGGTCCACTTTGGTCAGTGATGAACTTTATAGATCATTTTATTTATTTATTTTTTAAATATTTATTTTTTAGTTCTCTGAGGACACAACATCTTTGTTTGTATGTGGTGCTGAGGGTCGAACACAGGCCACACACATGCCAGGCGAGCACGCTACCACTTGAGCCACATCCCCAGCCCTAGATCATTTTAAATAATAGCGTAAGTATTGGGGCTGGGGCTATAGCTCAGTGGTATAGCACCCGCCTAGCATATGTGAGGCCTTGGGTTCGATCCTTAGCACCACATAAAAATAAATAAATTAAATAAAGGTAGTGTGTCCAACTATGCCTAAAAAATAAATATTTAAAAAAATAGCATAAATACTTAGTTTTATATAAAGGTTTAAAATTTTTAAAATGAGGCATAAGTCTAAAGATTACATACCATCATGATACTTTTAGATCATAATTTCTAAAATTAGATATGGGTACTGGAACATTAATTTTTAGCAAAAACCAATCTACCATAATAAAGCTTATGAAAATAACAGACAACTGCTGAAAACCAAATTTACCTCATTCTTATGGATTTCCATTCTTAGACGGTCAATATTATTCATAGTCTCTGCTAATTTAGGCTGCAAACTCCCTGGATCCCCCATTTGTGGATTTTTTTCATATACATCTTTCATTTTGTTGAGTGCATCTCTGAAAAAGAGAAGGAAATCATAGAACTAAATATTCGCTTCGAGTGCTTTTAAATGAGAGTTTCATTTGACTTTGAAGACTCAAGTACAAATTAATCTTAAGTAGTTTCACATCTCTTTAAAAAGTTTAATCAAATATTACCTGATTAAAGACAATCTGCATAAAGCTTATAATGTATAGAGTTAATAATTTATGAAAATGATCTTTTAAAACACTTGTAATACCAAAACAGGCTAAATTCATTTCTTTTCTTAAAGAAATTATGTATGTGTATATATAGACATACACACATGCCTATTTGTATATTTATATAGATATACAATATACATATCGAATATACATATTCAAGTTTAAAAAAATAGCTGGTAAAATACTCAAATAATTTTAAATCCATCTTGTTCCAAATGAAACTCGTATTCCCACCCAGCAACTCTATTCAACCAGTGTTCCTTATCTCAATTCACACATCATCACCATCCTCCCACCCATCTATGCCAGAAATAGGAATGCCATCTTTAATTTGCCTCCTTTCCTCTACAGTCAGTCATTTGCCAACTACTCTTAACCAATCTCCTCTAATCACACTACAATAGGTTATGCCCAATCACAGCTCCTTGACTCTAACATCTGACACTATTGACTAGCATGTCTTTTCCTTCTTGACCTAGAGGTTACATTTTCTTTCCCTCCTCCTCACTTTTGCTTTCTTACAGTCTCTCTTATTACCTCCTTCTCCTTCTTTGTTCAACTTTTAAATGTCTGTTACATAAAATGACAGCGGTTTCGTCTCATCTCATCCTACACTTTTCTTTTGAGGATGATTTCTTACTGTTTTAATACCACCTATCTTCAGAAAATTCTCAAATGTATATCTTCAGTCCTCTCTCTCCCAAGTTCTAGATTCATATTTCCAAACACATTTGGACCCTTCCAATATTTTTTCACATATTTCAAAAATTAACATAAATAAAGTCATTTTGTCCCAAATTCATTTTTCTTACTGTTTCAATTAATTCTATAGTACTATCCTGAGCTATAAGGCATTAAAATCTGTTTTTCTGTTCTCCAATATCCAATCAGGTATAACAAAGTCCACCCTACTTTGCTCTGAAATGATTCATATTTATTCCTCCTTTCTGTTCCATGCCATGTCTTAATCTAGGCCCTTGGCATCACTTACAGGGACTGTTATAAAGTACCCTAACTAGTGACCCTATCTACAATCCCCTTCCTATTCTTCGCATAACTTTAAATTACCTTTCTTCAGAATACAGAGTTGCTTAGAGCACTTGCCTAGCATGCATGAGGCCCTAGGTTCAATCCCAAGCACCGGAAGGGGGAAAAAAAAAAAAGTCAGAATATAATTATCCAATACCTACAGCACTCCACAAGAAAGTATTCAAGCCTTTTCTTAAGTCATCTTACATCTTTTTACCCTCATTTTGATATTACATGCTACATAATTTGCAACAGTTTTCCTAGATTAGAAAGAATTCTGAGGCTCAGCAAGAACACATTTCTGTGCTTTTATTCTTGCCTTGCCCCACATTCCTGAATGCTTCTTTCCCTCTTCATTTTCTTCAAGTAACAATATCCTATTCTATTAAGGTCCAATTCCAATGCTCTGAAGACAAGCTGGCTAGTGTTACAATGTTATTTACCAGTTATCTTAGATAAAACATGTATTTATTTAATATCCAGTTTCTTCATCTGCAGGAACAACAACGAAGGGCTATTTTGAAGGATTCAATAATGTGTTGCATGTAAAACTCAAAAAAAAAACAAAACAAAACAAAACAAAAAAACAAAAAAAAACGCCTAGCTCAGTACCTGGTACATAATAATCCTTCCATAAACATTTATTTCCTAGACCACAGCCCTCTCTTAGCCAACTCTCTCCCCAGTAAAGTCTTTCCTAAATACCTTAGTAAAACTTCATCATTATTTCCTCTAAGTTCCCTTAAAAGTTTGTATCTCATTAGCAGCTATCACAATCCAGCGTGGGTAAAAATTAAGTTGTCAGTCTTGCCTTTCCCCACTTAGAGTGTGAACCTCTTCGGATTAGGGACGATGTTTTCTCCATTTTTGTATCCTCATACGGGCTTTTATATATGGTAAGCACCAAATATTAGACCTAACATTATAATTTTCCAGAGACTATTTATATACTGTTTAAGTAAATACTTTTAACATTCTAAAATTTTTATACTAATATAGTTAAGTTCATTGTTCAGTTTCCTTTATAAATTTGCCTACCTGCTAAAATTTATTTGTAATTTCCAAACTAATATTCAAAGTGCTTTCCTGGTCACTCATGTACATGCACAGGAGAGAGAAATATTTGAGTTACTGGAGGTACATTCACATTTCCAGCTGTGGTCATGCAAGGAGATACTTCACCTTGTTTTTGCTCTCATATTTTGAACAAGTGGTCTTTTTGCTTCCTATTTATGTAGTGCCATATTTTTCACATTTTTGTGCTTTTTGTTGGTAATATGAGTATTTAAAATGGTTTCCACACATAGTGTTGAAGTGTTGTCTAGTGTTCCTCAGCACAAGAAGGCTGTAATGTTACTAATGGAGAAATCAAGTCTTATGTAAGTTTTAGTAAGCGTGAGTTACATTGTCATTGGCAGGATTCAAAGTTAATGAATCAACAGTATGTATCAAATAAGGTGTCTTTAGACAGAAACATATAAAACAAGATTATGTATGTATCTATTAATGAAAAGGTTGGACCAGGGTTTCCTGGCACCTAACACTGTATCTCCCTTTCCCTAAGGAGCAATGTTTTAATATTCGATAATTTAGTGCTCATGGTGACTTTATAGACCATTAGCTACTAAGAATTGACTGTAACTGTAAAATTTCATTTGTGTATCACACCCGATACACAATTTTTGGGGAGATGGGGGTAACTGGGGATCAAACCCAGGGGCACTTTATATCTCTATCCCTTTTTGAGACAAGAGTCTCAATAAGTTGCTTAGGCTAGCCTTGAACTTGCAATCCTCCTGCCTCTGCCTCCTAAGATGTTGGGATTACAGGCATGCACCATCATGCCTGGCTCCTGATACACAATTTTCAACATCAAAACTTCAATTTTCAATCTCTCATGCTTTAGTTTAAGTCCCAATTTTTATGTTTAGTAAGCCACCAATTCATTGTAATCACCCTTTATTCATCATTAAAAAAAAAACTCTATGATCACTTCTTAAAAATTAAATAAAACTTTGTAAAAAAAAAAAAAAGTACAAGTGAATGAATATGAAGCTATAAATGACTGCAATATCTACCAACATTTTGTTTTGTTTTGTTTTGTTTTGTTACCAGGGATTAAACCCAGTACACTTCTTCAAAACTGAATAAAAGAAAATTTTGTAAAATAAAAAAACTAAAGCGTAAGTCTACCAACATTTTTGGGGGAGGGTACCAGGGATTAAACCCAAGTGCACTTAAGCATTGGAGCCACATCTCCATCCCTTTTTAATATTTTCATTTAGAGACAGAGTCTCATTGAGTTGCTCAGGTCCTCTCCAAGTTGCTGAGGCTGACTTTAAACTTGCGATCCTCTTGCCTCAGTCTCCAGAGCCACTGGTGTTACAAGTGTGCACCACTGCACCCAGCTGCCAACGTGTTTTACAGCCAACAAAGTAATTATAGTCTTTGGTTGCTGTTGAACTGAGGTAGTAAAGAGGTAGTTAGCACCGGTCAAACTACTCTTGAAAATGAATAATCAAGCTATTTTACAAATTTATGGAAGGAATAAGTATATATGTTTATAAACACCTAATAAAAATAGATACTTAAAGAAAATATCTAACACTTCATTTTTATCTATGACCCGGCAAACATAAAATTTTTGCTTGAAGTATATATTTCTCTCAAAAGACTATTCAAATAGGATGGCTAGTTCTATTCTTTTTGATGTGTGGCTAGATATCAAAATCAGGCCCTATACATGTTAGGCAAGCACTATATAACTGAGCTAAATCCCCAGCATAAGATGTTATGATTTTGAAACCTTATACACATCATTCAAAGTAGATTCTAAAAGAAATAATGATAGAGAGGACTTAAAGAAACACTACTTTTGGTCTGATTCTTTCTGTAGTTCCCTGTTAAGTTCATCAATGCGCTGCTGCAGTTTTTTACGTCTCTGTTCTGGCGGCAGATGACTGAAATCTTCTAGCGCTGGCCCCTGAAAAGAAGACCTAAATCATTATGAAAGACATTTTCAGGACATTTATTTTTAAAATTTACTATGAAGTAAGAATATATACAATTTTAAGTTTAATTTCAAATGTCTCAAATAGCCCCCTTTAAAAAATAAACAAATCTAGATAGATGTGTGTATTGATGAAAGCAATTATATTGAAGAGCCTCACATTTTAGACATTTTTTAAAACCATAAAACAAAATAGGTAAAAATATCACCAAATACAGATGATTGGTAATTACTAATATCACATATTTTCAAGTCTTGGCAGAGTTAAAATGAATACATATGAATTTTCTTACAGCAACAACAACAAAATGGAAACACATAACATTTCTTATCTGTACAAGTTATTTCAAATACTGCGCATCACCACTTTTTAAAATCAAACCCACTGCCATATTTAGGATGTTACAAATGTTTAAATTAAAAATATGTATAACTTATAAAACTGAGTTAAGTAAGCAACTTACCTCATAAAAACAACTAATTAATGAAATATACTTCAATACTGCATTATAGTCTTTGATTACATTCATTAAACCATTCTTCAGAATCAAGACATATCTGATCATTAAAAAGCAAAAGGTAGAACTATCCAATGAATAACAATTATATTCATATATGGAGTATACTTGGAATTTTCCTTATATAAAATCAAATAACACACTTCAGCTGTATCTGGAAGAAAGATACAATTTAAAGAAAGGATCTAATTGTTCTTTAGGAGGATTCTTGGTGTCTAAAATTTTTTTGATTTTTAAAAAAATATTTTCAGTTGTAGATAAACATAATACCTTTATTTTATTTATTTATTTATTTATATGTGGTACTGAGGATCGAACCCAGTGCCTCACACCTGCTAAGCAAGCGCTCTACCACTGAACAATCCCAACTCCTTTTTTGATGTTTTCTTAGTCAAGAAATTATGCGATTTAATAAAAACTGCAGGTATTTAAGTGTACACTTTGTACTAAATGATGTCTTTTCCCTCATAAATGTTATTTTAGCCACTGTTACTTTAGTTACATTATTAGAGATTACAATAGAATACTAGCAACTATTAAACCCATTTAATGTAAACACTTACTGTTTACATAATTCCCAAATTAATGATAACTATTATTCTCCATTTTTCTTTTAAAATGGTTATTGTAAGAATATGAATATAGCCTAATTTTTAAAGTGTTTGCTGAAATGAGGAAGAAATGCATTCTTGTTCTTTAGGCCACTTATATGCCAAGTAGCTTTATATTACCATCCACAAGAATGCTTCACTTACTTTTCTTTTTTCCTTTGGTACCAGGGACTGAACCTAGGGGCGCTTACTACTGAGCCACATTCTCAGCCATCTTTATTTATTTATTTTTAATTTTGAGACAGACACTAGGTTGTAGAGACTAGCCTTGAATTTGCAATCGTCCTACCTCAGTCTCCTGTGAGGCTGGGATTACAGGTGTAAGCTATCATCCCCAGCACTTTTATTTATTATTATTATCATCATCATTTATTTATTTATTCATTCATTCATTCATTTATTGGTGGTGCTGGGGACTGAACCCAAAGCTTTGAGCATGTAAGGCAAGCACTCTATCAACTGAGCTTTATCCCCAGGCCTTATTTTTTATTTTTGAAATGGTCCCACTAAACTATTAAGGGTTGCTGAGGCTGGCTATGAACTTGTGATCCTCCCGTTTCAGCCTGTCAAGCTGCTGGGCTACAGGTGTATGCCACCACATGCTTCTCCCCCTGCCCTTTTTCAGTGGGTACCAGGGATTGAACTTAGGAGCACTAAGACACATCCCCAGACCTATTTTATATTTCACTTGGAGACAGGGTCTCACTGAGTTGCTTAGCATCTCACTGTTGCTGAGGCTGGCTTTGAACTCACGATCCTCCTTGTCTCTGCCTCCCAAGGCCACTGCAACTGACCTGGTTACTTTTTAAAAAACTCACTTTTAAGGTGAATCATGACCAAATGTAACATTTAATTAAAAAACAAAATCCCTAGAATCATTCCCCAGTGGCCTGCCTACTAAGGATATTCAGCAAACTTGCCTACAAAAAGTAGAGCATCCTAAGTATCCTTTGTGCTTTCATCTACCAGTCACTAGCTGTAACATCTTCAGGCAACCAAATCTGATCTAATTAAATGAATGGCAAAATTTCCTATACAAAGTTCTTTTAAATGTAGTAGTTAATTTTCAACATAAACTGTCAGATTTATTCTAATCTGTGGTACATGTTTTAAACTATTATATAAGTGCCAAAGACAAACTTCTAATTTACATTTTTAGAATATTTCTGACAACCTTGAAATTTTTTTCTTTTTTAATATTTATTTCTTAGTTATAGGTGGACACAATATCTTTATTTTATTTTTATGTGATGCTGAGGATCGAACCCAGTACCTCATGCATGGTAGGCAAGCACTCCACCTCTGAGCCACAACCCCAGCCCCTTGAAATTTTTCTTAATGAAGAAATACATAATGCTCAGTGGTAAAGTGCTTGCCTGGGTTCAAATCCCAGCACCACAAAAACAAACAAATAAAAATTCTCTCCCTAACATAAAGGGGAAAACAGTATTATACAAAAGAAAAACAATTCTACAGTAGGCCTTTTTGGGGGAGGGGATATTAAAAACTCATAATTTCCCACAAGCAAAATCTGCCATATTTCCACTTATTCTTAATCAACCTCATGATCAAATTTATTAACATTAGATACCTATAGCATCTGCATTCCTCCCACCTTATACACACTAGGTTACTGCAGGCTGAACCCAAGGGTGCTCTACTACTGAACTACATCCCCAGCCATTTTCACTTTTTTATTTGAAGCACAGAATCTCTATTAAATTGTCCAATCTGGTCTCAAATTTTCGATCATCCTGTCTCAGCCTCCTGAGTAGCTGAGATTACAGGTGTGTGCCACTGTGCCTAGCCTAGGCACCCAAATTTCTAATATCTCATTTCAACATTATGACTCATTCTTACATAGAATATGAGAATAAACTCTATTTCTTATGGATGTGAAGAAGCCCTGTGAGGTATTTAACAACCTTTCTTACTATAAGGGAATTTATAAAGGTTAAATTTGAACTATCTAAAAACAAAGTCTATTTTCCAAAAGTTATTTTGTAGTTTCATATACAAACTCCCAGTAATTTTGATTTAGTTCTTCATAATGTAGTTCCATTAACATCTGAAATGGTGAAAATTCACACACACACACACACACACACACACACACACACA